TGGATTTTTTAATTTTTTTTGTTTGGATTAATCATTATAACATTTTGTTAAAAATGTAAAAGTAATTATCACTGGTTCATTACATTACATCAATATTTATCGCATATCGAATGTTGCATTGTTTCAATATCTATCATTAAATTATCCAATAAACAACAAGTAAAAATTATATAACTATTATTTGGTGTTTGCTAGGTATGTTATGACATATTGTGAACACTATAAGGATACATTATATAAGCATGAATTGTAAGAACATCGTTGGAGTCATCAGAGTCACCGCGTGCGCGCTCGATCGTCAGGTTAAGCAACAGTTTAATGCGGTCAGTACATGGATGGTGCCAGTGTGGTATACATCGCTTGGGGAGCGGTGCACTTGGACACGGTGCATTTGGACACAGCCAATCACAGCACCGTGTGATTAGAGACATTTGTAGGGTCCCTTGGAACAGCGACTTGTGATTGGACTGTGTCCAATTGTCCCGTGTCCAACTGATATACACCCGTTGTGAAGAAGGTAAATAAAAAATGTTGTACTATTTTTGTATATATAACATAAAATATAAATATAGATAAGATATAAATATGAGCTTATGCATCATGTCCCATTTTAAATAATCCTTAAATATCTATGAAACTTATCATAAAATGTTTGAAATAAAAGTTATAGTTATAGCAAACAAAGTGTATCCATAAATCAGAATAAGGGATAAAAATATATTACATAAAGTTTCTCTTATTAACTTAATTACATTGATCATATATATATATATTTTTTTTTTGTTATAGGTACTCTATATCGTTGGACAGATTCATGTGTTCTTCTTTTATTAAGGACGTATCAAGAAATGGAAGCCAAGTTTAATAATGGAAAGATATCACATAAAAAATGTTGGGAATTAGTTGCTCATGTATTAAAAGATAAAGGATATAATTTAACAAGCAGTCAATGTGCTTCCAAATTGAGAAGCTTAAAGAAAACATATAAGTCGATTAAAGATCATAATGCCACGTCAGGAAATAATCGGAGAACTTGGCAACATTTTGAGGTTTATAGTTATTTTATTCATTATTTTTTCGTTATTTTTTCGTTATTTTTTTTTTTTTTTTTTTTTTTAAAATTATAAATTTTTTTTTTT